ATTTATCTCAGTTATTGATCCCCAAACATCTTTTAGTAATAATTCTCCAAATGCAATTGGCACGAGTCTCTTTATAAAAAAGTGATAATCATGATTTTTCTTTCTAAATAATTTATACTTTTACATATCGACACGTTCAATATATTTGAAATATATTCAACAAGCAACCTCAATTAACATACCCAATCACATACTACTATATTTTCTTCTTTGGAAAGAACATTGTCTACTGCGGTATCCTATTATCAACAAAACACAAAAAGCAAAGTATTGAAATGACAAGGAGGTACATGTTAAACAAACCTTAGTTCCATGAACCTGTCAAGAGACTAATCTAAATGGTCCTCTAGATGATGAAGGACCTAGTGATGATGGGTGTCGTGTCATGATAAATGATGAGTACATCTAGACACCTCTAACTCCTTCCGACTCCACCATCTAGGTCATGAGGAAGATGTAGAGGATTATAGAGGATTCTTGAATTTGTTTTTAAATCATTATATAATTTTTTTTTTTCCGTAGAAGTTTATTATTTTAATTATAAATTATTTTAATACTTTCATAATAAATGTTCTAGTAACTAAAAATATTTAATTTAATAATTTATATAATTTTTAATTAATAAAAACTAACATATATTTATTAATAATTAGAAAGAGATTAAGTCATAGCTGAATTTTTTTCTAATTTCTAAAGATCAAAAAGGTCATGTGTGCATCTTTTGCTTATCTTTTCTCTCATCTGTTTTGATCTACAACTGGATTTTACGATAGCTTGCAACCATTTCAAATGGCTGTGGGTTTGGTCGTAGCACACATTGTTTTAACTTGTCATGTAGTTAGGTACAGTTGTAATGGCTATCCCTAGTTCTATTTTGTATCTCATACCCGACATAGAGATATTAGCTTTTGCTAAATTTTTTTAAATCATCATTGAAATTTAGCTTCACCACTGTAGCGATGGATTTTTTGTTTCCATGGCTGAAGTCGTTACTGAGACCATTACTAAATTGCAATATAATAAAATAATTATATTATATCAATAATATTCCACAAACTTTCATATATAAATTAACTCATAATATACATTCATCATCAATTGATGAGTCATGATTTACATTTGGCATGGTGCAACTTCCATATTATTAAATTGTTAATAAATTAAATACACTGCCGTCATCGCTTCAAATCATAAGAGTCTAATAGTAAATTCATTAAAAGTACATGACATATTATAATAAATATAAAAAAGATAATTTAACAACTTAATAGACATTGATTAGCATACTATCTTAACTTGTCCTAAAAATATGAACTGATATGATATTAGTAAATTAAACCCATCAAAATAACAAAAAACCACAAACGAACCAATTAATTGAAATGGTAAGCAAATAGAAAAACAAACAATTTAAAGTTTTAGTATGATCATAATTTACATGAGAAAAGATTATGGGAACAATTTAAAGTTTCTTATGTTATAAGAAAAGCAAAAAAAAAAAAAGTGCAAATAGAAGCATTTCTATTATATAATTTTTAATTTTATTCCAAACTCATCCTTGATTGATTAGTTTCATAATTAAAGCATTGATGTTGTTGCAACTAAAAATAAATAAATAAACAACAAGTTAACTTGTTTCTTAATTGCAAATCTCATCTACAAAAACATTTCCACTTAGTTGCAAAATCTTAGCTGTAAATAGGACTAAAATCACTTAATTACAAGTATAAAAAAACTGGGAAAAAATGGTGATCATTCAAAGAAGACTGGGAAAGTAAATCTTATCTGAGCGTTATTACTTTGGAATTATGAAATTAACTTGTCACGTTGTTTGGATTGCATTAAAGTCACGTACCCGTTGCAACCTTCCAAAGCATAAATCTTTCTGTTGTTGTTCCGTTAAAGTATATTTCTATATATTCTGCATTATAAGTGACATTTTTTGTGCTAATGAAACTTCTGAAAAGTAAGTCAACAAAAAGCCTCATTGTTGAAAATCTTAGTAAATCATTGATTCGATAATATAAGAAATGTAGATATATTTTTGCTTTATCATCATTTTCGTCATTGTTATTTTTTTTTTAATATTCTGCTAAAATGAACAATTATTTTTAAGTGAGAGATTGTGATTTTAAAAGTATTGATATAAAATTTAGGTTCATTGTCCTATACATAGAGTATAAGTATGAAATCTCCATTAATAAGTTTGCACTATGAGAGAGATTAAGATATATGAAATTTTAATGTTGACATATGCAATATCTCGAAAAATTTGGATAATCTATATCAGAAGATATATTTCTTTTTAATTATTGGTAACTATATTAGGAGATATAATACCTTAAGCTTCATATAACTTTTATGATTATGCAATACATTTTTTTTAGTAAAACATAAATATTTAAATTATTTGAAGTTTTAATGTTAACATATGCAATATTTCGTAAAATCCTGATAGTCTGTATCAGAAGATGTATTTCTTTTTAATTATGGGTAGTTATATTGGAAAATATAATACTTTATAAATTTCATAGAACTTTTATGGTTATGCGGTATAATTTTTTATAAAATATAAATATTTAAATTATTTAAAATTTTAATGTTAACATATCCAATATCCTCAAAAATTCAGATAATCTATATAAGAAGATTTTTTTTTTTTAATTATTAGTTACTATGTTTGAAGATAGTACCTTAAAAGATTCATATAACTTTTATGGTTACACGGTATATTTTTTAGTAAAACATAAACATTTAAATTATTTAAAATTTTAATATTAAAATATGTAATATCTCAGAATATAAGAAGATATACTTTCTTTTAATCATTGCTAGGTATATTGAGAGATATAATACCTTATAATTTTCATATAAATTTTACGGTTACGCATTATATTTTTTTGTAAAATATAAATATTTAAATTATCTGAAATTTTAATGTTAACATGTATAATATCTTAGAAAATCTGAATAATCTATATTAGAATATATACTTCCTTTTAATGATGGGTAACTATATTGGGAGATCTAGTACCTTTTAAGTTTTATATAATTTTTATAGCTACACGGTACTTTTTTTTATATAAAACATAAATATTTAAATTACTTAAAATTATTTTAGACTTATTATTAAATTTATCATATATGAAATTTTATGTAAAATTAGAACAATAAATTTAAAATTATGTCATTTTTGATAGAACTCAAAATGTATTATTTTGATTATGTATAAGTTTCTATATCAATCCAATTTGAATAATTTTAGATAATGCTTTCTGTTATCTTTTAGTTAAAAGTTTTACATATTGAATTGTTGGAAACATAGCTTTGATTTATTGTAGTTTTATCTTGTTCCTTAATTTTTGTTTTAGAGTTTACCTATGTTTTTCGTACATAAAGTGGTTTTGATTCTTCATTTGATTTACATTTTGTTCAAACAAAAACTTTGCTAGTGTACATCTAAAGTAGAGATTAACTTACAAAGCCTGTATGAGATCAATGTATTGAATTTCTTAAGGACAAGCTTTGAGTAATTACAGTACTGTCAATTAATGAGGGAATATTAGTAGCTAAAAAATAACTTTAGATAGTTCAAGAAACAAAAATGTAAGAAAAGAAATTCATAAACTACAGAAACTAATTGAAACTAAATATTTATTCAATTTAACTTCTTTTTATTCAAGATAAATTTTAAGCCTAACTCTGAGAAAATTTTTGACCCTCTCCACCTTGTCTACTTATTGGAAGATGGGGAAGAAGATAAGAAGATCTACCGAAAACGTCATCGTTTAGGGAAGATTAGCGGCTGAGGTCAGGGTTTGACTAGGTTGGGCTTGGCTTTAAGCTCTATGAACTTGAGGGTTGGTCTTTAATGAGTAGGATCTTTTTTGGGCTTTTGGTTAAATGTAAAAGACTCGATCTTTTTATTATTTGGGCTTTGATAATATTTTTAAATTGGGTTTGGGGCCGAAATAATTTGTAGTGTGTTATTTTGGGGCTTGAAAAAATTTCGGATTTGAGAAAAAATAAAAAAAGGATTTTAGCAATGGCTCATGTGCAAAAGATCTTTTGCTGTAGTTGTTTTTAGCTATAATGGATTTTGCGATCCATTTCATTCAGCTACAGATTTGGTCGTAGCAAACACTGTTTTAATTTGTAGTGTAGTCAGGTAGAATAATCTGTAATCGTCATTAAGACCATTACTAAATCACATAAATCTTAATTAAATAATTCACCTTATACTAATTGCACGAAATATTCTACTTAATTAAAAAGTGATATAACATTAACCTTCAGATCAGATTCTTGAACCATAATTCTCTTTTGTGTTTGATTTCATGAGGAGAATAGATGTTAGAGTTAGTCCATATAATATAAACCTTATACTAACGTTTATAATTATCTAAGATAATCCTCTTCATGACTTACTTTCTAATTAATATGTCTTATTTAATTTACAAATAGTTTTTCTTCTCAAATAATATATGTTTCTTTAAATGTAATGAAACATCCCCTAAACCCAAGTTTGACATGTAACTATCATCTAAACGAAGGGGAAGAAACAGAAGCAGGGGAAGAACGTCGTTATCAAAAGAAGAGAGGATGGAGGTAGGACCCACGTGACAGGCTAGCTTTTTCTGAAATTTTCGTTTTGTCCAATGTTGGATTTGTCCACGCCCACAGGGAACCTGTCAGATATCTTCACACGTGGCATCATCCAATTAGTTAACATATCAATTCCCACGTGGCACTTCACGTGGCACCCGACTTTCCTTCTCTCCCGCTATTTTTCCATGGCGAATCTTGCGAAATCCTTATCCAAAATCTTCTCCACCACTATAAACACCTTTTTTTCTCTCTTAAATGTCGTTTGGAGTATAAGAAAAAGAGAGTAAAAAAAGAGAAAATTAGAGCTGGGTCCCTCCCTCCTCCTCCTCCTCCTCCTCCTATAAATATAACTGTACGTGATCATATTCTTTGGGAACTTGTGAGAGCTTGATCAATTTTATGCTAAGATGTTTCCTTTATCTGCATTTGCACCTGCACCTTATTTCTTCTTTCGAGTTATATATATATATATATAGAAGTAGTACAGTATAATATTAACCGGGAAAGATCAAAAAAGGAGAGGTGCAGGTGTAGGTGCAGATGAATGTCATTTTGGCTTCTTCATTTCTTCTTTTTTTTTTTTAAAGATCATTTTAAATTTCAGATCTCGTTTAATGAATTATTGTTCTTTGGGCAAGGGATTACAGTGCTGTTTTTAACTTTTAAATTTAAGCTAGTGTGATTCAGAACAAACGAAGAAGCTAAGGCATCTCCAGGTACTTAAACTTCTCTCTCTGCTGTCTCCATCTATTGCACTACATACAACACACATCAGTGGTCCGTGTTATATATATAATATATATATATTTTTAGAGAGAGAGAGAGAGAGAAGCTTAAAGATACTCGTAGCTTTCTTTGAAAAAGGTAGCTAGGACATAAACAAAGGCTCAAACTGCTGTGTGCGCATAAGATTTCGCATACTATAGTTTTGGTTAATATTTGAAGGTAAAAATTTTCTTATTTTTATCACTATAATATTTTTTAGGAAATGTTTCTATATACATTCTGTGTTATTCCTAGATTATACTATTTTTTGTCTTTTTTTATTGTTAGGTTTAAGGTAAGTTTGACAAAATTGTAATTTCAACTAAAACAACTTTCCACTTCGATTATGCTACGATGACATACATAGTTGTAAGGTTATACACCTCTTTTATTTAAAATTTTTAAAAATAAAAGAAAGCAAACTATAAATCAATATGATCCAAAACTAGAAATGGTTCAAATCAATTTAAAAAAATCGGTTTAATTTTATCAATGCAGACTGATGAATGCTCAGACCTACATAGTTGCCCGCCAAAAAATTCAATTGTTTTTATCTAATAAAGTTAGAAAAATAAAGTAGTATATATGTATGTATATATCGAGTCGTAGTTCGAAAGATTTAAGTGGTGTTTGTTGACAAAATATATGGCTTGCAGGTTTTTGTACTGTGTGTGATGGATCCATAAAAAATTTCATCGATTGGCTTGCATGTACGTGGCTTGGAAGGTAATGGGATTTATTTCATTTCACTGTATATCTTTGATTATATGACTTTGGAGCATTAATGAGTATGACCAGACAATGCATGTGTTCTGACATTTCAGACATTTATACTTAGTGTGTTTGAGATGGATGAATTTTTAAATTTTTTATAAAATTCATCTCCAAATCTTAATTTGATTTTGAATTAAACTATAGTGTAGCTAATCCACTGCATCTTCTTCAATTATTAGTTGTAAATTCTTTATATTTGTTAAAAAGATAAGTTTAGGATGCTAATATCTCTTGTATTTTCTATATATTTTTGTTGTAAGTACTTTGCCTACTAATTATGAATTTCATCTTCCTAAATCTACTATTCATTCTTAAGTATTCTTCCGTGTACATTTGTTTTTATCATTATTCAATAACTATCTCGTAATATATCATCAATATAGAGCAACTTCACGGAATAGATTTCGTAACATACAACACTAATTTAAATGGATTCTCTTATTTAATATTGTTGTTACTATCAAAATCAATCAATTTAGTGTTATCCAACGTGTTAGTACGTTCTATACATCTCTAGAAAATATTATTATACTCAGTTCTCTTGAAAAAAATCTATTCATATGTCATCTCCAATGTGAAATTAAGAAATTGAAAGTTCTAAATAAGTGTGCATGAAATACTAAATCTGCCCTAATTGTTTTCAAAGAACTGTAATTCTATTCTGTTTGTTGGCAGATATGGACTCTCTTACATCGTTTTGAGTTTCATATTAAGTTTTCTGCTTGGCTTGCGTGATACAACTAATGCTAGAATGATCGCTCAACATATTGGTCAGTTAATACAAGGGGATATTGCTGGTTAAATATGCTGGTGGGTTGGCCAGATGAAATTTGAACTAATTAATCTCAGTATTGACAACCCATTAGCCGTTGCTATATTTCTTTCTAAATCTTTGTTGAATGAGTTTTAAATATGAAAAGTTGCCTAAATTCTGCTCTAACTGTGGCACCATCGGAAATGAAAAGAGGTGTTAGCAAGGGATGCCATCTATGATAATAACACCTTCAAGCTTATGGCTTAAAGCTTTTGGTTCTTGGCTTAGAAGGACACTTCTTCGTATATTTCTCCATGTACAGCCTGTAAACTTCTTTAGTCCCATACTTTAAGGTTCACATAACCTTGATATTATTTTTAATTTATAGTTGTAATGTAAATTCCTCTTGCTACAATTACTTTTAGTTAAACCAGGATCACGAGATGTTTCAAACATTTTATCTTGTGTTGGGCCTTTTGTTTCATTGTTTAATTAAACCAATCACATTTATGGTGATGTTCAATTCCACCCTTATTAGATATATTTCTTAATTTTACCTATAAGGCAGTTACTATTTCGCCCCATCCGTCAAATATTTCCTTAGCCCATTTTGCTAAACCAACCCATGATGAACAATCCTTCAAAACCCATGCACAAACCAAGGCTTATCCAACCCGAAAACACAACACTCAATAGCAGAAAGAGATGGAGAGAGAAGACAAGGGGCGGAGCTAGTCGCAGACAACTTCATGGGGTGAAATCAGAGCAGAGAACATGCTTTATAATATTGAGAAATATAGTCAGCATTCTCTATCCACAGTTTCTTTTACACGAAACTTTCAGTTTTAGTCACTAGCAGCCTTTTTACCTTCAGATGCATATCTGTTGAAATCAAAGTACACAACATGTTGTAGATATGAGAAAAATTTTAGTCAAACTGGATTTATGTGCCGATTTAAAGAAGAAAAGATCTTGTAGAGTAGTGCTAATTAACACACATATCTGGGCATATTGTCTTGTTAAGGCTGCAGATCTCCCATTTTTCAACCTGATCTGCCCATTCAGTCTGTTTTGGGATTTGGGATTAAGGATGAGAGAACATGCAACAAAAAAGACCAAATTTTGAGGATTGATTTAAACTCATATAGATACCGTAACATTCTGCTGGATTGCTTCAATCATGGCATCCACATTTGAATAATAGAAGGTCTCTTCTGCTGTCTCCATTATATTTGCATCCAAAACCTGCATGCTTTGTGTGAGTGATCGGTTTAGGAATAAGGACTGGATTTGCCGTGTTGATGGTAAAGATGCTGCTTTCTTGTGTATCAATGAACAAACACTCCCCAAATCATTTTCTGCATATTCTGGAAGCAGCTCCTTCACGGCATCTGCTGCTGCCTCACTCAACCGAGACTGCCAAAAAACACACGCACACCCCCCCCCCCCCACCCCCCCCACACACACACACAAACAAGAGAAACACATTGGAGTTGGATTGGCAGAAAAAATCAACACTTGCGGGTGACTCTTATCCAAGTAGGAAAAAGAGGTTATGGGAAACATAAAAGATCAAATTAAGCAGGAAATGGTTCAATTACGGGAGTAAGTTGAGGAACATGACAAGTTGAGCTAGTACAAGAAAAAAAGAACAAAATTAGATGAACTGTACAAAAAGGAAGAAATAACGTAATAACAAAGCGCAAAATTCTTCTACAGGTTTCTGAAAGAATGAGGCAAAGTGGCATTAGCAGAAGTTAAGATGAAAATGGTGTTTGGTTTTTCTCACATATTATTCCTTCCTCTTCGGGGAGCTGGAGCAGGACAATACGAACAGGTCACCGGATTGCATTGAGTGAAAAAATGGTTATTTCAATGAATGATTACTTCAATGATTGAATTTCTAAATATAAATTTTGCTATAAATAGAAAGGTTGTTACTGCTGATAATTATTTCCACTTTTCTATGATATTTATTTATTAAATTTAGCTGCTATTTTAATATGTAGATTGCAGTCACCTTAATTTTTATGACAGATATATATTTTAATTAGTGGTTCGTTTGATTTCAAATAATTTTCAATATCTTATTATATTTTTAGGTATATGAATGAGCTACTTAAGTATTATTTTTATTATGCCTTCAGCAGCTTCAAAATTAGAATATTAAAATTTCTACATTAATGAATAATAAATTAATACTAGTTAAAAGATTAATACCCATTATAAAAAATTTGGTATCTTCACGACACCAATTTAAATAAAATATGTGTTTTAATTGAAATTAAGCTAGTACTCTTGAGTAAATGTCAATAGCGAATTGTTTCACTCAATGCAATGTTTTGATAATTTGTTAAAAAACCAGTTAATCTCATGTTAATAGTCATTAAATAATTTAAGCACAAAATAATTCATGTCATTACATAAAAATAAAATAAATAAATAAATAAAATAACTTGACATTATTATGGATTCCACAGAAAACAAATATTACCTCAGACGCAAATTCACATCTGGTTAATTCTATTGGCCTTAACTGTTCATATATTGGGCTTAACTGTTCATATATTGGGCTTAACGTTCACCCAGGTCCAAGTCATTTCTTTCAGAAAGCAAACGTCGTCGTTCTGTCAAAAAAAACCAAAAAAAAAAAAAACTAGAGGGAGCGCACCCAAACCGACCTGACTGAAAGAACCTCATTTTGATACGCAACCAATTGAAAGAACGCCATAACTGCCGTACACGTGTCCCTCCACATCTCTATAAGTACTCAAAACTCCACTACCAAATGAATTTGTACATCACCGTAACCCTACGATAGGGAAGCTCCTCCTTTCGCCACAGGTACCCGAGTCTCATACTCCAAAACCCTAGATCTATCCTCCACCATCTCGTCCTACGCTTCCCGCTTCTCGGATCTCGTCTCCGGTCTCTCACTGGTAAGTTTTCTTCCCGATGCTAAATGCTTTGGGTCTGTATCAGAAGTTTTTTTTTTTTTTTTGTCTTTCTATTTTTTAAAGGGTTTTTTTTTCTTCAGATTAGGGGGTTAGTAGTCGGGTGAATAAGAAGATGGTTTCGGACGCGAGCAAGAAGAAGGCGGCTCAGAAGAAGGCCGCTGCTGCTGCTAAGAGAGGCGGGAAGGCTGCAGCGTCTTCCAAGGCGGCGGCTGCCGCTGCGGCATCCGACACGCAGAATGGAGTTGATAGCTTGTCTAATGGTGTTGGAGCTATGCAGATATCTGATCGGACCTGCACCGGTGTCCTTTGTTCGCATCCTCTATCCAGAGATATTCGCGTAAGTCCTTCTATCTAATGAATCGTCTTTGTTGCGGTTTGGTGATGTGGAAAATTTGATGTTACTTGTACCTTTCCAGTATTGATTAAAAGTGGAATTCCTTTGAGTAATTTTCCAACATAATAAACTCTCGCGACAAAAAAGCAAAGTTTATGCACATATATATTTTATCCTATATATAAACACGCTTGTGCACATAAGGGACTTCGAGTTGAATCTTGACGGTGTTTAATTGCTAGTAGTTAAGTGCTACGAATGTTTTACTTCTTGATTTAGGTTCTCGTTTGCTTCTTGGTTGAGGAACACTAAACTAGGCTTCCTTTTGAATAATAGTTATAGTTTATTTTTTCTTCACGTACTAAAAGATTTTGGCAAAATGTATTCTAGAAACCAGTTGTAACTAGTGCCACCTTAGTTACTTGTGAGCCAGGTTTTCCCTCAAACTTTCTTATATATGTTCAAACCCTTGCTGAGAAAGATAACTTTCTGTTCTTTAATCTCAAGTATAATTTTGGTGTTGTCTTGAGCACTCTATGATTTTGCAACCTTACTGGTTGCAAAATGTAAGCTCTAATGAATTTTGTGCCTTGAACCGTTTCAAAGGATAGGTGACATTTTTTTTTTTCAAGAAACAGAGTCAAATTTCTTGTGGAAGTATGTGTTTGCACCTTTTTCTAAAGAAGTGTGATTTCAAGGCAGCTTTACTGTAGTGAAACTGATTTGACCTGAATGAAAAAGATATGATGGCACCGGAAACAAATGATGTTATATTTATTGATCATCCACAAACAATGATGTAGGTGAAGGGGTAGTTGACTTTCTTAATCTTATACTAAATTGGGTATATGGTCTTGGTTTATATGTTTTCTGGTCGTATTCACAAGTATAGGCTTGCAAATGGTCTGGAGATCCTCAGCTTATTTAGCCTCACTTTTAGCTTATTGTTGCTAGCTTGGTGCACCTAGAGTAGACACGGGCCTAGGCCAGATGCTGGGTCTGTCGCCAAGTGGTTCTGCCAACTACCTTGCCAGGGTTAATTTCTTGAAATTCTCCTATGTGAATGTAGTCGAATAATTCATCCTTGTTGGAACCCCTTGGTCAAGGTAATTTTGTGCAATTAGAATCTCCATACTTGCGTATGATTGAACTTGTAACGAACTATAGATATTTGGTAGTTGTGTGATTTTTGTTCTCATTGCAGATAGAATCCCTGTCGGTTACTTTCCATGGGCATGATCTTATTGTCGACTCTGAACTGGAGCTCAATTATGGTAGACGTTATGGTTTGCTTGGGTTGAATGGATGTGGAAAGTCTACGCTTCTTACAGCAATAGGGTGCCGAGAGCTCCCAATTCCTGATCACATGGATATTTATCATCTCACCCGAGAAATTGAAGCTACTGATATGTCTGCACTGGAAGCTGTCATAAGCTGTGACGAGGAGAGATTGAGGTTGGAGAAAGAAGCAGAAGCCTTGGCATCGCAGGTGAGTTTTAACTATAAATTTATATCATGTTCTCTGTTTTTATTTCCATGAACTAGTTTATGAATCCCATTTTTGTTATTTTATAGGATGATGGAGGTGGGGAACAACTTGAACGGATCTATGAGCGTTTGGAAGCTATAGATGCTTCCACTGCAGAGAAACGTGCTGCTGAAATTTTGTATGGTCTTGGTTTCAACAAGAAGATGCAGGCGAAGAAAACGAAAGATTTTTCTGGTGGCTGGAGAATGAGAATTGCCTTAGCACGGGCACTTTTCATTAATCCAACAATCTTGTTGCTCGATGAGCCAACCAATCATTTAGGTAAATCTTGTTGGTTTTAACATTTCTACTTCTCTCTATGTATTGGAGAAGAATAAAATTTTGTTCATAACAGTGGACAATTTTTGGACTATATTGTCACTCAGTAGAATTTCATGGCTTCTTCCATTGTGGGTAAATTATGATTTAGCCTAATTCTTATTCTTACCTTTGACAATGGATATAGGATCAATAAAGGACATTTTCTGATTACCCATTTCCCCATGAGACATGGATCATTCTACTGAAATTATGGAAGAAGCAATTGAGAATAGAATTGATCCATGGTTAAGAATTAAATACGATAAAATTTTGTGCTATAAATCATAAATTTGGCAATGGAATCTTTGTATTCAGTTGTGTTCATCATAACCCCGTGTTGCAGAACTTTTGCCTGTTTGGACAGTATTGATGGTTCTATGGACTGCGCATTCATGTGGATTGAATTTGAATGTATATTTATCTGATAAAGTGCAATTTGTGCCAGATGTTCACTTTGCGCTTGATGCTTTTCTTTGACATTGTTTATTGCCTTATTTATGTACAAGTGTATTGAAATTTACGTTTCATTCTTATCCAAAAAAATATATTTTTTCATATAACAGTTGTGAAATTTTCTTCTCATTCTTACCCAAAAAATAAATTTTATTTCCTATTTTTAGAAAAAAATTATATCAATTGTGATGCTAATATATTTTCTTCATCCAAAACAGATTTAGAAGCTTGTGTCTGGTTGGAGGAGATGCTGAAGAGATTTGATCGCATCCTTGTAGTGGTGTCACACTCACAAGATTTTTTGAATGGTGTCTGTACAAATATCATCCACATGCAAAACAAAAAACTGAAGCTTTATACTGGAAACTATGATCAGTATGTTCAAACCCGTGCTGAACTAGAAGAGAATCAAATGAAACAGTACAAGTGGGAGCAGGAGCAGATTGCTTCGATGAAGGAGTACATCGCTCGGTTTGGTCATGGGTCAGCCAAACTAGCGCGTCAGGCCCAGAGCAAAGAGAAGACACTGGCCAAGATGGAGAGAGGTGGGCTTACAGAGAAAGTGGTGAAAGACAAGGTTCTAGTATTCCGATTTGTTGATGTCGGAAAACTTCCCCCACCAGTGTTGCAGTTTGTGGAAGTTACATTTGGCTATACTCCTGATAATCTCATTTACAAGAATCTTGATTTCGGTGTGGATTTGGACTCGAGGATAGCCCTGGTGGGACCAAATGGTGCTGGCAAGAGTACTTTGTTTGAAATTAATGACAGGAGACTTGGCGCCCCTTGATGGTATGGTTCGACGCCATAACCACCTCAGAATTGCACAGTTCCATCAGCACTTGGCTGAAAAACTTGATTTGGAAATGCCTGCCCTTCAATACATGATCAAGGAGTACCCAGGGAATGAAGAAGAAAGGATGAGGGCTGCGATTGGGAAATTTGGTCTTTCTGGTAAAGCCCAGGTGATGCCCATGAAAAACTTGTCAGATGGGCAAAGGAGCCGGGTGATTTTTGCATGGCTTGCATACAGGCAGCCCCATTTACTGCTCTTGGATGAGCCAACTAACCATTTAGATATTGAGACAATTGACTCTCTTGCAGAAGCGCTAAACGAGTGGGATGGAGGTATGGTTCTGGTCAGCCATGACTTCAGGTTGATAAACCAGGTTGCCCATGAGATATGGGTGTGCGAGAATCAAACTGTAACTCGATGGGAAGGTGACATTATGGACTTCAAAGAGCATCTTAAAAACAAGGCTGGTTTATCCGATTAAGATAAGGTTTTCAACACCGGATGAGTCCTGATCGGGATTTGAGCTAAGTTTACTGTGGCTATGTTGTTGTTTCTAAGTCACTCTGTTCCTTATCCTCTCCTTGTTTTGTTTTATTTTCTGGCATTTATTGTTTAGTTGCCGAAGTAAGGAAGACATAAAACATATTTATTTTTTTAAAGTTTAGTGGGTAACTAGCCTCTATGGTTTTACGAGGTTATGATACATGATAGTGTATTTGTCATTATCTGGTACTGCAAACTGAATTTTAATATTCTATCTTATTTCCATCAGATCCATTATCAGACATTTTGGAGCCTAGAAATTGAAACGGTTTCTAATTAAAATGGGCTATTGTAAAGACAAGACTATCTTATCTTGCTTCTAATCTGACCAACTAAATATCTGCGGCTGAGACACAGGAGTAAAGCTTCTTTTAGTTTTTTGATGTCCGGTGAACTGAAATGGAAAACAAGAAGCTGAAAAATCGTAATAATAAAGTGACGCTAGAGCGCTTATTTGAAGATTTATGCTAAATATTAAACTAAAACCTGGATATTATTTTTAAAAATTTTAAACCAAGTGGATTTTGTCTAAATATTAAAGATAAACTTAAATCTATAAATTAGAAAGATAAAATACTAATCTAACACATTATTGAAAAACAGAATTATTAAAAAACTAGTAAGTTCTTAAAGCAAAACACCATGTAAAACAAATACTAAAATAGTTTATTTAAACATCTTCATCAAGGTCTGATTTCCGGATAGATCGCAACACTTTTGGATTTCTTTTTAAAATAAAAAAGTTTAGTTCCAAATGTAATGTTTTACACTACCATTTTTTAGTTTTGGTTTTAGTTTTATTTGAAACTTTCCAAATAACCCCACAAAATATCAAGACTTGGCTGACTGTATCTCATCAAAGAAAAAGAAAGGTGAAGATGTTACTTGTCATGTCCCGGAATAGTTGTCCGCCGCCGATGTCCCATAAACGTCCACAGATTCATGCCCTACGCCTAGCCACAACAAAAAAGAGGCTCCTAGTAGGAAAACATTAGGAACTTTCAAGGACATGAACCGTGTTTAGGGAGATCTAGAAGAAGATATTTCTAAAAGGAAAATACCGAATGCTGGTTTCCAATAATTAATTGGCCAAATGGCCATCCTGTTGAAGCCTCAAGAATTCGTATAAACTAAAATTTTATAATTTTCTAAGTAGAACAAATCAAGGGTGAGATATTAATTTAGTCTCTAAATTTTGACTTATTCTATTTTTTAATTACAAAATAATATCGTAACTTTTCTTTTGAAAGGACTAATTCCCGATAAATTTAAACGAAAAAGATAAAATTAGCTTAGGTTTAATTGGAAAAAAGAAAATTACTTTATTCCCTGATCTCATGATACTCTCCCCACTTCTCTTCTAAAAGACACCCATCCCCAAGTTCACCATCGGAGAAGTCAAGAAAGCATTCAACCGAAAAATCTTCACCTAAAGAAACACCTTCTGCTCTACTAAAGCACCATATATCGTCACTGAGATCTGCTCACTGCCAGAGTATTCATCTCCAACCACCAAAACCATTCCTCTCATTTCGAAACAATTGTAAGTTTTAATTTGAATAATAACAAAGCCTCTGCAGATGGAGCAGACCTACCTTGGCGATGGAATATAAACGGAATCTGTGCTCTCTTTAATCTCCTTTTCAATTTAAAGTCCAATCTCCCTCTTTATTTCTTAAAATTCAAAATAATAAAATAAAAGAGATCTGGGCCACGTTTCTGCAGCTCTTTTCATCCTTCCTTCTCATCTTCTTCCTCATCTTCTGCGTCGAGAAGGCGATGGAGGCCAGCTTTTCATCTTCTACTGTGCTCATAGAATTCAAAATAACAAAGCCATTTGGAAGAGGGAGTAAAATAATACTAAGAAAATAACCAAGATCAGAGCAACTGTCTTCGAATGGCTCCGCCAATTTGCTGCTCTACTCATCCCCGTTTCTTTTAACATATTTTTTTTTACGAATGTCCCCATTTTCTCAAAATAATGTTAAGGAAATAACCCATTTATAAAGGGGATATGGGCTCCGTTTCTGCAGCTCTTCTCACCCCTCTTCTTCATATTCCTCATATTTTGCATTGAGAAGGCGATGGAGGCCAGCTTCTCACCTTCCACAATGCTCAAGAGCATCAGGGGGCGGCAAATTCTCGGAGAACGAACCTGGTGCTGTGTTTGCAGCTGGTGGCGAAGGGACTTCAGCCTGCAGATTCTCTTCTTCCTTTCTGTATTCCGTTCTCTAATATTCTCTCAATTAGAGAAGAAGATGAATAGTTATTGATTTCTTAATTGAAATTAATTTTATCATTAATAAGTAACAAAAAAAACTATTTGCTAAAAAAATCATGATTTTACAGTTTTAAATTTTAACACCCTCTCTCTTGAAAAAACTGAAAAAAAAAATTGAAAATTAAAATAAAATTTAAAACCAAAAATTTAGGGATTAAATTCATAATTTGACCTAAATTAAAAAAATGAATATATGGCTAATAATGCGATATACTGACATCAATATATATTAGTAATATAATATTTTTAAAAATTAATAACTTTATTCAAGGATAGTTGAACTTAATCATACATTAATACACATGAGAATATGTAGGTCCTTTAACTAACCCATAATACAATGTTAAATGTCTAGATAACCTAGCCGTACAGCACGCATGCTTTTGCTAACGTATATATAACCTGCCCCATTCTTACTGCTTTGATAAACCTAATTCCCGCAGATCTATACGAAATTCAAAACTAAGCTGATCTATAGCCCATAACATACAAGAGGCTCTTCACATCCCTAGTAAACTACAAAAAGAAAAAACAAAAAAAACTGAATGTGAAGTATACCATGATAACCATAGAAACATCCTGAGGACCTGAGGATTTTGTTATTGCCCCTTTGTGTATTTGTTGTTGGGACATTGGAGCTACATCTACAGGACTAGAAGACTATAGAAGACAAGTGGTATGAAAGCATTATCAAGTTGAGCTGTGTAGGCCTCTAACATTCCACTTGCAGTAACGGCCAGAAGAAGAGAGAGCCAATCCTGAAGAAATATCGTTGAAAATCAACCAAATAGGAGTTGTGCCAGTATTTGTGATTTTTCTTTCTTCTCTAAATCTTCACAACATTAGTTAGGTAAAAGGTCTTTCAGAATAGTAATACTATATCGAAACATCACATCATCATCATGTTTCACGAATAACTGTTTAAAATATGAAAAATTGACATAATACCAATGATTTTGGACCTAATTACCATTTATTTTAAGAAATTACAAGCCGATCTACGTTTAAACAAAATTACAAGTCATTCTGATAAATTAATTGCAGATGTTAAAATCATCATTCAACATTGAATCACAAACTAATCTTTTTTTTTTTTTTTCCAAAAAGATACACAAGAACTCTAAAAATAAAACATAAAAGCTTAAAACAAACAGAACAATCTTAACCGAAATTGGGGATCGAGTTTAAGAAGTCAAAATTCTACAAACGCAGTAATCAAGGGTTAAGATTATTCAATTTTCTTCAAAATTTCATGTCCCTTTTTTTTTTGACAAGTTATACGTAACCCCTAAAAGAGAAACAATTTATATTTTAACAGTGATTTTAACATCTATTAGTCTGTTGTACTAAATTGCAAGTTTGTTTACAACATAGAGACTGCGGTCTAATTTCTTCACTTAATGAACTTAATTGCCATTAGGTCCAAAACGCACAAATTTTCCCTATACTTTTCTGAAGGGAAAAATACATATAGAAAAGAAATGTTAAACATTCACAGACCCTTAACAATATTTTTCTACAAGCTTATACGGATAGGAAAATTTTTAAGGGTGTTTGGAATCATATTTACTGTTTATATGCACAGCTTTAATGCCGCAATTTCAGTTTTAGCCTTCAATAACACCAAAACATGATTTTTATTAGTTTTTTAAACTGAATTTAAGAAAATGAAAAGAAGCACCCTATTCTAACTTTTAGATTCTTAAGTTTTTTAGCAAACCTATTTACATAATTACTCTTTTGACACCTTAGAATTAACACATATACACAAAATAATGTGATCAAACTATTTGTAAAGTAAATTATTTTTTTACTATTTTTTAATTAAAAACTCACTATGTTTTTTACAATTGACACTTTATCTGAGTAAGTAACTATCTATATTAAACAAAAAATTTACATGTTTTTAAGAACTTAAACAATAGTGCTGCTTTAAACATATTTTTTCAACAATCACAAACAACCTCTTAGTTTATCTTACATTGACTGTCCATGCAAACTGTCAAGTCAATTTGTACAGTTAAGATTTTGTGTTAAGTTTTTCTATACATGTAAATACTCCTCACGTATTAAAGCCAAGAAGTACCTCAAAAGTAAATAAATAAATAAAGTCAAGTAAGCACCGTCTTCCCTTTTTCCCCACTAGATAATTGTGAGTTTCCCGTTCTTTAAAAAAAAGAATTGATAAATATGGAAATTTTAATTTTTTTTTTGGCTGAATAGATAATGTGGAAAGGTATTTTTTTTTTTTTGTCTTTGCTGAATAGATTATATGGAAAGGTTAATTGGTGCATATTATGCCTTTCCCACCCAGAAATCCATTCTTATTCGCTACCTCAATGTGGATCCATGAGGTTGCTGGCATCTGTGTTCGTGTTTTTCTGTGCATGTGCTTGCGGATGGATCCCTGTGTGTTTCTGTGTGTATATGTGCGTGTGAGTGATAGAAATGTGTTTATTTGTGTTTTTTGAAGAGAGAAAGAGAGAGACCTGCGTAAGAATATATCCAGTTGAAGCCAAAAGTGGAAGCAGAAGAGAGCATGCAGCCAGAACAGATGTTATACCAGCAGCAGTTCCTTCCACAGTTTTCTCTATCAAGTGAAATCACATAAGTTGGAAGAAGGCCAACATCAACAGCTAGGAAAATTAACTAAACCTTTTTTTAATTGAAAGAGTAATATGCTCACTTCCAGTTTTGCTCCACCTAAGGACACCATACTTGTGGCCGACCATTGATGCCTGAAAATAAAACAAAAACCCTTCTTGTGAGTTATGAGCTTTACCATGCTTGACCAACTATGAAAGAATATTCTGCTGACATGGCATATAGGGCTCATTCCAGTATCACCAATAATAGTTGACCAGTCCACATAGACACCATTCTTACACAAATTCAAAACCATGATCCCAAATCTTGAATGTGCCTTCATAGATTAGGCTGGTCCTCAAATATTCTCCATGAATCAGTCAAGTTATATATTTAGAAGGTTATTTTTTGGTTGGCAAGCTTTAAGTAGTTTGGCAAATTTCTGACACAATAAGACAACCAATATATTGCACTAAATTACTAAGAGGAACCTGGATAAGACAAGGCACCAACCTGTTTAACCCAGAAATGACAAGAAATAATCCATTTTAAAATATAATTTAATAATTAATAGTGTTGATTTAAACTAAAAATATTTAAATATTACATGAAATTGACACTTTTATAGACACAAACAATTGCTGCTGACACAATTGCCACCAGTTGATTGTTCTGCTTCATGAATGCTCAATACAAAACTTAACAGCTTGGCTAGAGAGATTTTAACAAACTAGACAAGTGATCATAGCACCATGTTAACTATTATCTTTGATTAGCGCAATACACTTTCCTAGGTTGAGAGGCTGAAAGCATTCATTGGTGAAGTTCAACAGTAAGAGATTGTTCTGCCTCATGAATGCTCAATAGGAAACTTAATGGCTTAGCTAGAGAGATTTTAACAAAATAAAAGTGACCATAGCACCACGTTAACTATAATCTTTGATTTGCGCAGTAGATTTTCTAGGTTGAGAGGCTGAAAGCATTCATTGGCAAAGTTCAAAATTAAGCAGACTTACCATAGTATCTCCAATACCAAGGCTCAAAACTCCAGCAAAAGGGGAAAGTGGTCGATCATTGAACCCAAAAGACATCCAAATAGGGAGTGCACATCCCAGTAATAGTGAAAAGTGGCTACAGAAAGGAGATAAACATCAACAAGAATACATGTTCAGTTGCTTGTGCAAAATATAGTGTTTTTTTAAAAATAACAGTGTAGTATATTATAAACATAGGAGTACCACCCATGTACATACACGTGCAAAATATAGTGTATTCACATAACCACATACATGACATACCTAACATGAGACATGAGTCACGTGGGTCAGTGAAAGCATTCATAAATTGATGTATAATTTCCCCCAGGGGCCAAATTCTCCAGACCTGACTTCAAAATAAAGTCTTATATAAGATCAAATAGAAAGGTAAAGAAACTATAGACCCAAGTTAATAGACTTCAAGCATATCTTGAAACTGAGATGCAGCTTGTTAGGAGTTCTTAGTATTACTCATATATACATCAATCTAGAAGAAATCCAGGGTTAAAATATCAGTCTAGGATTTCCTTTTCTTCCTTCCTTTCTCTCCTGGACATGGTCAGAGTGGTGGCTGCCCAGCACAGGCAATCATATCTTTTTCCCAACTGTATATTTTGGGAGGATATTGAATGTGATATTCTTCATCATCTGCAAATTTAAGAGAATCTCAACTATCCTCTAGCATTGCAGGATCTAGACTCAGTTAGATAATATCATCAGTAAAAAGTCTAGGATATATATCACCGCAGGATATTATCAGTTAGATAATATCCTATATCACTCTAGGATTTCTTGTTCTTCCTTCCTTTCTCTCCTTGACATTGTCAGAGTGGTGGCTGCCCAGCACAGGCAATCATATCTTTTTCCCAACTGTATATTTTGGGAGGATATTGGATGTGATATTCTTCATCATCTGCAAATTTAAGAGAATCTCAACTATCCTATATCACTGCAGGATCTAGACTCAATTAGAAAATATCATCCGCAAAAAGTCTGAAGACAAAAACGTCTCCACTTTCCAGCCACAAAAATTTATACCTTACTAGATAGTGGATATGGTATACTAACTTCCGTAACATTACCAGTTGAACACAGGTGGCAGATATTAAACAGATATTCACATGTTCTTCAAATATACTTGACAACAAACTATGAAAATCATAAAATTCACAAGTTTGATGGACTTACTCGAATAATTTCTAGTACCAAAAAAACTGCCAAAGCTGCACCAAATGCTAGATCAAGAAATTTTGGCTGGAAATCAGAAGAAAGAAAATAATAATCTAGATAAATCACTTCTGGGATGGACTAGAAAATGGCTGCTGAAATGAAAATGATATCCATTATTCACCTGGAAGATAAGCGCCGGTAGAAACATCAACACAGCCATCAGATGGTAATATTTTCGAAGAAGAATCCTCTCCATCTTACTCTTCCTTGAAATGTTGTAAAACCGCAAGACAGATGCATATATCAAGCATACCCAATAGACACATAAAGATAATCTCTTAAACGGCTCTGAGAAAACAAATGTAATAACCCTGGCACAAGACATAATAACATAAGAAGAAATTTTGTCTAAGCAGATAGTCATAGCATATGTGATAATAATGTGAAGGCCAAATTAAATATCATTAGCAAACGGAACACAAATTTAACTAAAAGTACATTCATAGCAAGCAAATGAAGAGAAGGACCAATAATATTATCAAAATTATACATCAGAATGTTATCAAAATTATCAGTGATAATGGGAGAACCATGCAAGTAACAACAGTGACATGTACCAGTAACAACATGACTTTTTTATTTTGGGTGAATATCAATAGTAAGCCTAACCCAATTTCCTGCATCTAATTAAGGGGCAATCACTCTTCTGTAAGACTTTATTTCTCATGGAAAGCACAGCAGTCAATGTTAAACAATTAGAAATTAGACAGGACCCTAGCAATCACAATATTACAGGTTAGTAAAGGAAAGAACACCTTGCAAATGATGTGAATTAAATGGTAGATAACATCATAAACCTAACCAAACCAGCAATCACCCAATTGATGCCTAATAGACCATAGACCAAAGTCCACAACCAGTCAACAAAAGAACACCAGCAAGATATGGTTACATGATTCGGCATCCCTCTTGCACAGGTAATAAACATAACCAAGATTCTTCCCCTCCTAAGATTCTAAACATACAGAAACATCCTATACAAATTCTCCCACTATCACTCAATGAACAAATTTAACAGTGTTTTTTTTTTTGGCATTTTGTGAACAAGAAAGAGCTCCTCGTTGCATGAGCTAAAGACTCTGCATGGAAAACCAGGTGCAGGAACAGTAAACTGAAATGATTTTGGGGAAAATAATACCATAGTAATGGATGCTGATTAAAATCTTGAACAAATTGCATCCAGGAAGGAACAATTGTGAGCAAGATAAATCCAAGGGAAGAAAAGAATATAAGCGATTTCACAATCTCATTGTCAGTCCCCCTCTCTGAGCAGCTCTTCCCGAAAGAACGTCTGTATACATGGAGGACAAATTTAAATACCAGCGGGACAAGAAGAAGGCCAAGCAGCACTCCCTGGATGGAAAATAACAACCTTTATGTACAGAAGATAACCACACAGTCAAAATCAATTACAATTAGATTTATAGCCCATGCTACACACGAATTATATACAATTATAGTAAAAAAATAATAAAAATTTTGGTTTTAATTTTAGTAAAATTTTAATTGGAAATTAAATAAAATTTTTAATCTTACACTTATTAGAATTTTAATCAAACTGTTTAATTTAAAGTAGAGATTCACTTCACTAAAATATATTTTAATTTAAATATATTATAATTTTTTAATATATATAGTTACAACTTTATCTATTTTAAAATTGATGAACTATAAATTCAACCAAATATACTCATACCTAAGACACAGAGTTGAAAAAGAACTTCAAGATTTTAACTAAATAGACAATAAAACTTTGGGCAAATTACCATTTTAAAATTAATTCCAAAATTTTTTGTTAGAATTTGATTCTTCAACTTATAATATTCTTTAAATATATAATATTTTCATATGACTATTAAAACTTTTTTCAAAACAAAATAGAAATAACAAAATTTTGATAGAAAACAACAGATTCTTTTTGTCTCATCCATATTTAATTTTCAATTGAATTTGAAAGTTCTGATAATTAAAAATTAACATTAACAGAATGAGGTCTGTAACATCCATATTTTTAATTTTTTTTTAAATTCCTAGCCCTAAACAAAAAATATATATATATATATATTTTAAATCATTTGCTAGGTTATTTGAGTAATACAAAAAAAAAATTTGTAGCTACTTATGTTAAAATTTCATTAAAAAAATATGTTTTGAAACAACTTATAAGTTCAAGAATTAAAATTGAAATTTAGAAAAAAAAAAAAAAGTTAACTGTAACATATCTACAGTTCATTGACCAAAGTGGTAATTTTCCCTAGAATTTTTAATTGCACTAGTTTTAATTTATTAAAATTTTCAATAAAAATTATTAGAATTTTTAATTCAATAAAATTTCAGTAGAATGATTTGATTTTATTTGATCTTTAAAATAAAGAAGAATGTCAGAGAATATATTTTATACCTTATTTTGAATTAGTTTATTTAAAATTCAATTTTCTCTGTTTATGTATTTAAATTTTAGAATTTTATTTCAAACAAATTAAGTTGCAACAACACATGGCTTTAGTCGCTGCTTTGATAACATAGTTACATAGATTTCAAATTCATACCTGAATAATTATGCTTATCTCACTTCTTT